GGTCTTTGCCCCCCAACCGAAGGGCAGGGGGCAAACCACTTTCTTTCCCATTATCTTTTCTTCCCTTCCCTTCCCTTTTCTTTTCTTTCATTTTCTCTTTTTTTCTTCTCTTTCTTTTTCTTTCCCTTTCCTTTCCTTTCCTTTCCTTTCCTTTCCCTTTATTTTTTTTTCTGTCTTTTTATATAAGATGTGCATGGGGTGTACGCCTCATGAAAAAAACGCAAGAGGCGTACCTTAGAGGTGTCAGCGCCTCTGGCATATACGTCTCAGGGTGTTTTGGGAGCGCCTCGCCTGGAGGTGCGCCTCTAGGCGTATGCCTCCCATGCCTTTTAAAACACTGTTTTAGATATAGCCAAGGAGGTCTGGGATCATGCAAGGAAGCTTTATTTTGGACAAGACAACACTACTAGGGTTTACCAACTGTACCAAGAGTATTTCAATTTGCAACAAGGGAATTAGAGTCTTGAAGACTATTATGCAAGTATGAGAAATTTGCGAAATGAGTTGAATGTGTATCACCCTCTTACACCTGATGTCAAAATTCAGCAACAACAGAGAGAGCAGTTGGATGTGACTAGATTTTTAGTAGGGTTGAAGTCTGAATATGAATCGGTAAGGGCACAGATATTAGGTGGGTCTGCTATTCTCTCTCTTGAGGAAGTATTTGCTCGTCTTCGGAGGATCTCAGTTGGACCCACGAAGAACTCTACTATATCATATAGGTCTACATTTGTAGTAACGAGAGGGGGAGGTCGTGGAGGTAGAGGAGCTCAAGAAGGTCAACCTGGCCGTGGTAGTGGTGATGGACCCATGTATGGTCGTTGCGGTGGTGGCATGTACAGTCGTGGTGGTGGTCGTGTTGGAAGTCGAGACTTAGGGGAGCCCGTGGTAGAGGACATAGTAATGGTCAGAGGGGGTGTGTACACATTGTGGTATGGAGGGACATACTATCAACTTCTGTTGTGATCTACATGGCCCACGTCCAACCTGGGTAAATCATGCAGCTGTAATTGGTGATGGTTTGAGACAAGAATCTCAACAAACTAATCAAATACTCTCTACATCTACAGATGCCTCCAGAAAGGAGATGTTGAGTGTTCCACGGGATGAGTATGAGCGGTTCATTCAGGGTACATCTCAGTAGAACACGACTACCCTTGCACACTCAGGTATGGCTTGTCTGGCATCCAAACCTTCCCATTGGATTATAGATTCTGGAGCTTCCGATCATATGACTGGGACTCCAGGTGTGTTTTCATCCCTTTTTCCGTCCTCCATATCACAATCTGTTACTCTTGCCAATGGTTCTACTTCTTCCATATGTGGTGTTGGTAATGTTGACACTGACTCATTGTCCCTATCCTCAGTTTTATATGTTCCCAAGTTTCCCTTTAACTTGATGTCTGTTAGTAAATTGACTAAGTCTCTTAATTGCTCTATCACTTTTTACCCTTCTTCTTGTGTGTTTTAGGATCTCAAGATGGTGATGAAGATTGGCGGAGGGCATGAAGCTGGTGGATTGTATTACCTTGACGGAGGTGGTTCGAAAACAACCCTTCAGACATCTCTTTCTCCTCTTCTGTGGCACTGTAGACTTGGTCATCCGTATCTTAAAGCTCTTCAGTTACTTGTTCCGTCGTTGAGTCGTGTCAGTTTGGGAAACATCATTGTGTTCCCTGTAGTCCTAGATTTGATAGTCGTATGCCGAGTCATTTTTATTTAGTCCATTCGGACATCTGGGGTCCAAACATAATAGTGTCTTATAATGGTTATTCAAGGATGACATGGCTTTACCTTACGAAAGAAAGGAGTGAATTGTTTTCTATCTTCCAAAAATTTTATGCTGAGATTCGTAATCAATTTGGTGTACACATTAAAATTCTTTGTTTTGATAATGGCCGCGAGTATTTTTACACACCATTTCAAGAATATTTGGAACAACATGGCATTATCCATCAAACCTCGTGTACCTACACCCCTCAACAAAATGGGGTGGCTGAGAGAAAGAATTGTCACTTTTTTGAAATTGCTTGGTCCCTCTTACATCATATGAATGTTCCCAAACACTTTTGGAGTGATGTTGTGTTTACATCTTGCTTCCTTGTTAACCACATGCCCATGTCTATCCTTGAAGGTCGGTCTCCATTCTCCGTTTTGTTTCCTACTTTGTCTCCTTTTCCTCTTACTCCTAGAGTCTTTGGGTGTGTTTGTTTTGTTCATAATCTTGGGCCTGGAATGGACAAGTTAGATGCTCAATCCACCAAGTGTGTCTTCCTTGGCTATTCCAAGAATCAAAAAGGGTACAAGTGTTATAACCCCAGTTCCCGGTGTTCTTTTGTGTGTCCTGATGTTAGATGCTCGATCCATTAAGTGTATCTTCCTTGGCTGTTCTAGGACTCAAAAAGGGTGTAAGTGTTATAACCCCAATTCCTGGTATTCTTTTGTGTGTCATGATGTTACATTCTTTAAGTCTGTTCCTTTTTTCTCTGAGTCTGGATGTTTCTTCTCTTCCATCACTATCACCTCCTCTTCCAGTTCCTGTTGAGGACCCCATTCCTCTTGTTCCAGTTGTGACCAAGTCTTTGCTTCCAGTGCAACTCCTTGCTGAATGACCACCCATCCGACAACTGTATACACATCATCAGGTACCGGCTCTTCCAGCTTCGTCATCGTCGATAGATCCGACAGTTGTTACCACCCCAACCCCATCCCTTATTTTTGACCTTGATCTTTCTATTGCTTTGCGGAAAGGTAAACACAATTGTGCTATTCACCCCATTTCCAATTATGTTTTTGTATCTCACCTTTCGGCTATGAGTCTAGTGCTGGGAAGATCCTATTAGTGGTACATGTAGATGATATTGTTATCACTGACAGTGATAGACCATGGATTTACAGGTTGAAGATTTACTTGCATGATCACTTCCTAACAAAGGATCTTGGCAAATTAAGATACTTCCTAGGGATAGAAGTAGCGAGGTTCAAGAATGGTATTAATCTGTGCTAGAGGAAATAGGATTGTTAGGTGCTAGACCAGCTGATACACCCATGGAACCGAATGTCAAGTTGAGTAGTGATGCAGGTGAGGAGTTTGAAGATCCTGGAAGGTACAAAAGGTTGGTAGGTAAGCTGAATTACCTAACCATCGCTCAATCCAATATCTCAGTTTTAGTTAGTGTAGTGAGTCAGTTTATGCAGAATCCTCGAATTCCACATTGGAAAGCGGTTCTAAGGATTGTACGGTACTTGAAGGGAGCTCCAGGTCGTGGTTTGTTATATAAGAGTGGAGGAAGTCTTGAGATAGAGGGATACACGGATGTTGATTGGGCTGGTTCCATATCTGACAGAAGGTCCACTATAGGGTATTGCACTTTTCTTGGTGGCAACTTAGTGACATGGAAGAGTAAGAAGCAGGCAGTGGTAGCAAGAAGTAGTGCGGAGGCTAAATATAGAGCCATGGCACACACAACATGTGAATTAGTGTGGTTGAAGCATCTCCTAGAGGAAATGGGGTACTCGATTGACACTCCTATGAAGCTATATTGTGATAATCATGCTGCAGTTCATATCTCCTCTAATCCAGTGTTTCATGAAACAACGAAGCATATAGAAGTTGATTACCACTTTGTACGTGAGAAGGTGCTTAATGGAGTGTCCATCGAAGGACCTCTTCTCTTCTTTGTTCTCTGTTTCAAGGTATAAAAAGCATGTTGTGTCAAAGTTTTTTTCCATAATGAATAATCCATTAACACCAAATTGGGACTTTGGGTTTTGTAGAGGTTTAAGGGAAGAGGAAATTGTGTCTCACAAATCTGCCAAGTCTACTTGATACAGTATGTTTGGAGTCTTTGGATGCTTCTGAACCTGATAATCGGATTTGGACACCCCAGCGGAATGGATCCTTTTCATGCGCTTCTTTCTTTAAATCCATTACTCAGTCTACCCCCAACCAGCCTTTCCCTTTTAAGGAAATTTGGTGCAGGCCTGTCCCCACTAAGGTTATGGCTTTTTGCTGGGAAGTGTATTATGGAAAATAAACACCTTAGACATTCTACAAAAGAGAAGACCTTTTCTCTGTCTCTCACCTTCCTGGTGTATTCTTTGCAGGTCACATGGTGAGGACTGTAACCATATACTAATATCTTGTTCATTTACTGCAGAGTTATGGGAGTGGCTCTTCTCATTGTTTGGGTGCAAGTTGGTTAGGCCAGCAGATGCAAGAACAACACTGATCTGGTCCGTGTGGGAAGAATTATGTGGAGGTGTGCAAGAACAACACTGATCTGGTCCGTGTGGGAAGAAAGGAATACCAGAATTTTCCAAGAGAAGGAGAGAAGCCCAGAAGAGATGAAGGACTGCATTCTAAATAGGGTGATCTTGTGGCTAAAATCATTGGACCTATTCCATCAATTCTCGTTTAATGATATTTGGAGGAATTGGTTAGCAGTGGCTAATTGTTCATCCATAAAGACTAAAGTGAGTATGGCTTGGGAACCCTCTCCTGAAAGATTCTTGAAGCTGAATTTCGACGGAAGTAGTCTTGGTAATCCAGGTCCATCAGGGGTGGGAGGGGTATTGAGGAATGAGAGTGGGAATGTGGTTCTTATTTTCTCAGGACCCACAGGAGTTGGAAACTCTACTAGGGCAGAACTTGCTGCCGCTATCCAGGGAGTACAGTTAGCAGTGCAGATAGGTGTGGAGCAGTTGAAGGGGACTCCAAGGTGGTAGTGGGCTGGCTACAAAATCCGGAATCTATAGTGTGGTGTTTTAAGAATGGAATTAAAAAATTCAACTGCCTAACAAGAAGCTTGATGGTGAGAATACAATGGGTGGGGAGATCAGCAAACTCTATGGCTGATGGTCTTGCAAAGCAAGGGCTAAATAGGGAAAGTTTGTATTGGGCTCAATTGTAGACCGAATCTGTTTTCTATTCTTTCTTCCTACTATTAGGAGAGGACGCAGCTCGTGCCTTTCCACGGGAAGCTTGTAACTGCATTAGTTTTTATTAATGAAATTTATCCTTCTTATTTATCAAAAAAAAAGGTGCTTAATGGAGTGATAAGTACAACATATGTGAACACAGGAATCAATGGGCAGATCTGTTTACCAAAGGGTTGAGTCGGGGAAGAGTGGACTACATATGTAACAAGCTGGGACTATATGACATATACTCACCAGCTTGAGGGGGATTGTTAGAGTCGGCTGTAGAAGGGTAGTATAGGCATTTTACATTAAGTTATATGTTAAATGTAATTATGAGTAGATCTTAAGTTAGCTGATGTGTCTCTCACTTAAGTGAGGGCATAAGAGTAATTCTGATTTGTTTAGAAAGATATAAATAAAGTCTGGCCGACTAGAAAAGATAGATTTTTCTCTCTAGTTCGACTAGAACAGTTATTATTATTATTATTATTATTATTATTATCTGAAAATTCTATCAGAATTAAATTGACTCAAATCACATGAATCTTATGAATCATAAGAGAGTTGAAAATGACATTGAAGAAGAGGAAATTATGGATGGGATAATCAAAGAAATGATAATTGATGAAACACATACAATTCAGATTTATTTTAAGTTAGAGGAAATTGTGAATAGAGAAGTGGTAGTGAGTAAAATATTGGGTTTGTTCTTTTTTGGGGGTGAAGAGTTTTCAAGGTATTTAAAGAGCTGGAGGAAAAAGGTTGGGAAAGGACAGATTGGATAAAGAAGCAGTCAGGTTCAAGTTAGGGATCAAAGAGTTTCAAGAAAGACTGAAATCTTCTGAAGTTGTAGAGCATGCTGACAAAGAGGGTGGAGAGGGGGTTGCAAATAAGATTTTTGAGAAGAACGCAGTTTTGGAGTTAGAGAGGATTAATGCAAACTTTAAGGAGCCAAAGGAACATAATAGGACTCCTAATGGAGTAAGATATTTTAGAAGTCAGAAGAGTCACTAGACGGTTCAGGTCTCAAAAGTTTTCACCAGGCTGAAAGGGGTTTTGGGGTTGGGCCTATCAAGAGGGTGAAAAGAACAAGGAAGATCTCTAAGAAAAGTGAAGAAATTTTGGTTCAAGCCAGAGTAGAAGCTAAGTTATTGAGTAGAGTTTGTCTTGGTGCTAACTTGGGGTCGAGTGTTGTGAGGTTGTTGGCTTTATGTTGTCTGTTGGGGTTTGTTTTTTGTTTTTGGTTTGGTCAGGAGGTTTGGCTGTTAAGTTGTTGGGTTGAAGTTTCATTAGGGTTGGTTGGGTCTCGGTGTTTCTTTGGTTGTAATTGGTTTTGTTTTGTTTTGTTTTATGGATAGGAATGGTTTCTGGATTTTTTTTTTTGGTTGGTGAAGTGGAGGGCTTGATGTTGGGTGGAGGTTGAGTGTAAGGTGTTTATTTCTTCTCTTGGGTGACTTTTCGTCTCCGTTCTTGCAACTTCTTTTTTATTTTATTGAAATGCTATTTTACTACAAGAAAGGATTCAGATGTAAGATTCGAAACAAAGCCCTTGGGATCCATGATTTGAATGAATCATATATTATATCGAAAATTATAAGATTTAGCATATGTTTCTGGTCAAAAGATACAACAGGAAAATATGGCTGAATAAATTGTATTCTACTTGCTGCTTCTACTTGTTTCTTAAGTTTATATAGAGGCAGAATCCTGGTTTCACCATGATTATAGTATTACATTTTATACTTTCTTCCCCATTTATCCTTATCTGATATGATTTGATATTGGAGTTCAGTTTTTATTTATTAAATTCTGTTCTCTGTACTGACAATGATTTGTTACTGGATGACTTGGAATCAGGTCTTTCAATTATCCAAGAATGCAATCCTGATGCTATTCTCCTGGCGCATGAAAATACTATGCATCGCATTAAAGGTTGTGACTTTTCTCATCAGATTTACCCTGAATTACTTGTGATGATTTTGGATAAAATTTTCAGATTGATTCTAAAATCTCTTGAATAATATTTATATTCTTTATGAGGAGTTTCAATTTGAAACACAATCTTGAGCTCCATAACCCCACACTGGAAGTAAATGTTCTATCCAAGCAGGATGAACAAAAAATAGATGTGCCAACTGGCACCTTTGGCTTATTAGGAGCATTCTACTTGCACCTAAAAATGGTAGAGAACCACTCCCAAACACTGTCAACAAATGAGCATGGAATTAGTAGGTGATGGATAGATTCTCTACTTGTCTTTCAAAGAACACAGAGGTTTATACACATTAATTTTAGAGTGATAAACCTCTCAACAGAAGGCTCTAATTTTGGGTGGGATTTAGATTCTCCAAATTTCTTTTATCAGAAATGGCTGTACTGTGATTGGCCAAGGGAGAGAGTTTTAAAAGAGGCATATTAAAAAAGACCCTGAGGAAGAGTTAGTCCAAATCGTATGCTCATAAGATGGAATGCACCCTTTAGAGAGTTAGCTAAATTCAGAGCAATAACCCTGATCAAGAAGACATTTCAAAGTGAGAAACTGGCTTGACTTTATAAGATGAGATGGAAACAAGTGGGGAAAAATATTTTAAGTTCTGTCTTCCCAAAATTTGGTTAGGTTCTTTAAGAAACAATATAACAAATATTACACAAAAAAAGAGGAAGCAAATCTGATATCACTTTCCAAGGAGAGTCCAACATTGCTCTTGTAGACAGGCCAACATTCCAAGTTTCTGACCATTATAGCTTGCAGCTCATTTATGCTAACCACCTTATCATGCCATAGCTTGTCAGTACTCAGTATCCAGTGAAAATCTCCAGTCATTTTCCCAATAAAGCTGAGCCTTTTTTGATTGGTCCCAGTGAAGCTGAATTTTTATACACAGCCCCCCTTCGTTTTTCCTTTTGTTGAATCACCATTTTCCAATTTATCAAATGATCCCTCTTGGTCTCTTCCGGCTCCCACAAGAAGCCCCACATGATAACCTCTCTACAATCGGATCTCTGATATCCCACCTAACGGAAGGCAAGGATTTCTAAGGCCACTGTGTTGCGGAATAACCTAGATGAATGTCTACCTCCCAACCTCTTCCTCCCCCATATTAACCACCAGATGTATAACTCTTGTCAAGATTAATGTAAAGTTTGATATTCTCTCAAAATATGTTACTCAGAGTTGCAAGATCCCTACCCTCCTCATTTTTGAATCATTGACAAAACAACATAATGTCATCAACAAATTGTGAGTTATCCGTCTTATTCTTGACAATCGTTCACCCTTCAATTAAACCATAATTATTGGCCTTCAAGATCAATCTGCTATAAGGGTGGAAAGAAAGAGGTAAAGGGCCTTTTGTCTCAAACCCTGCTTTGCTGGAAAAAAGTCCTTTACAATCCCATTTTACCTGTGAATAGTGATACATCTTCATACATCCCATGATCCACATTATCCAGTTGACGCCAAACCTACACTTCTCTAAAACCTCCCTTTGGAATGACCTGTCCACATTATTTTAGGCTTTCTCCAAGTCAAGTTCACAACCTTCTCCTTTGCCTTTAGACTTCCTCATTTCATTTCCTCCTGGCATTCATTGGTAATCAAGCTTTGGTTAGTGATTTGTCTTCTTTTAAGAAAAGTCCCTTGGATATTTTCTGCCATCTTATAGTGATATTTCTTTACTTACAAAAAAGAAAGAAGATAGAATTCCAAGGAGCTTCAGTCCTTTGCTTCTGCCATTTACTGCTGATGGGGTTCAGGAAATAAAGAGCAGGAAAGGTTGATTCAAAAAATTAAAGAGTTGGAATAAATCAAAATAAAATGAAGCAACACTTATAGTTTTTGAGGAAATTGCATTATATTGTTATCCAACCATCTTCTCAACATATCTTCCCTAGGAATGCAATGATGGTAACTCTCAAAATTGAGCTTCCAATAATGAGCCCAAGAAGGTAACATGGGCACCAAATATATGGGTCTACCACTCTACCTAGCGGTTAAATCAAGATTCAAAGTATTGGAAACGCAAGGTGTATGGAAAGGTAATTTTAAGAGACGTATCAAGATACGCTTTGGGAACGTATAGATACGAACAAAAAATCAAGATTCGCATGGATACACTAGAAAATTCAAAAAATCTTTAAAAAATATGAACAATAATAAAAATGAGTTTTATGTGATTATAACTAATTTATTTAAACATAAAAAA